GATTAATTTATGCAGCTGGACGATCGATGGGCTAATGGAGTTCGCCAGGTTGAATATCCGTGCAGCCTGGATTTCGATACCGGTTCAGACGAATTTTATTTCCGTTACTCGTTCGATTAACCGAATCAAAATGTTTCGCCTTTTTTCAACCGAAATTCCCGTTTATTCACTCGTCGGCTACGATTAGCGGAATTCGGTTAGGGTGTCAGCATTTGTCAATATTTACCGGGTCTTAAACTCATTGATTTCTTAGAGTTATATACGGTGTCTACAGATTTCTCGTATTTCTAATATTCGACTGGGTGATTTTTGGGTTCATAGGATTTATAATTATTTAATTTTAACTGTTTGGTTTTCTGAGATATTTTTCAGTAATTTTTGTCTGTTTTATTTGTGGATTTTAGTTAAAGGTAATTTTATATTTAATCTTTTGGAACTCTTATCCTTCCAACAATATACAGGGTGTCTATTTTGATTTTGTGTGAAAAATAAACTGAAAATTAATAAACAGTAAATTACTCTAAAATATAACAGTAAAATATAAATATAATCATAAATTACTCTAAAAATTTACATAAATTTTTTGTATAAATCAAATTCAATTTTATAATTTTTAAATATTTGTAGCTTGAATAATTTCTAGAAATGTAGCATTCTTTAAACAAAAAAACTGTCAATTAAAAGTATGAAATTATTAAAAATATCTCAAAATATCTTACAGTAACCAATAATTTTCACCTAAATACAGCTCCCAATAAAAACGTATTCGTAATTTAAATAAATTTTGAATTACAAATCTTAAATTAAACCTTAAATTATAAATCAACATACGTAAAATAAAAAAAAAATTTTAAATAAAAAATCGATTAAATTTAAAGAAAATAAGTTTCGTGTTTACGCGTTCTTTAAATTTCTTCCAAAACATTTCCTCGAACCCAGCAGCACGGCATATGCAATTAATCGCAGATTTTAACGATGTTTCGAACGGTCTCCCTATCCGCGCGCCACCCCTAAAATTACATTTCCGCGTCAATTACCCCCAACACAATTAATTAGAATAGATGTCCGCAAACGAATGGAAAATATGCAAATATAATAATAAAATAACTCTCGGATACTATTGGCACCCTTTTAACTAGCTTAAAACACTCCGAACGTTAATGAAATTACAAGGATAACATTAAATTTAAATAACCGGCGATATATTACGAATTCCATTTAAACTTGTTTCAAATTTCTCCTGCTTTTATTTTAATTTTGAGGTAATAAGTTTTGTGAGGGGAATTATATGTTTTCTGTAATTATTATGTTTTAATAATGTTGAATTATGATATTGTAATTGTTATTTGTATTTGAAAATTATTACACTTGTTATATTACATTTACGTTAAATATTGTTTGGAAATTGTTTTATATTATTTTAACAACTTTACTTTCGTCATTAAAGTGCAGTTTTATTTAGTTTGAAATATTTATAGTGTAAGTGTAGTGTTTTTGAAAAATCACGTTTTAATAAATATTTTATGTATAATGAAATTGAGGATCGCTAAGAGACTACTTACAACATTTCGATTTTATTCTGTAAAATACTTAATCGTTCAAGAAAAAGAAGATAACGAGTTAAGTACTGAACAAATAAAATACAACGATTCGCACTTCATCAAAAACATAGTGAATCAGAGAGAAGTTTGTTTTAATCTCAAAGAAGGAGTTTTACGATTACATTTGAATAATCGACGAAAATTATATAATTGTGGAAATATTAATATAATTTAATTCATTCATAGCTTATTTCAATTTTATTCTGTTTTATAAATTTATTAAAACATGTGAATTTTTTTGGTGCAAAATGTGGTAAAACATTTGTATTTTTTATGTCACAAAATGTGATAAAAAATCTCTATTTTTTGTGGTATAAAATGTGTATTTTATATGTGATAAAATGTGATAAAAATTTTGCATTTTATACATGGCAAAATGTGACAAAAATTTTTTATTTTATATATGAAAAAATGTGATAAAAAATATATATTTTACTACAATAAAATAATCAAAAATATTTTAAACATTTTTCAAAAATATTTTAAACATTTTTCAAAAATATTTTACATCTTACAAAATACACTTTTGTATATTCCAGTCCTCAAAAATAAAGAATACAATGTTTCAAGAATATACAATATTTTTCTATTAAACAGCTAAAAATTAAAATTAATTTCCAACACTTAAAATTAATTATAAACACTTTTCGTTCCTTCCAATTTACTTAAAAACACATGAAACACGAAGTCGAACGAAACTACCAAAAATGTCTTTTTCAAGCGACAATCAAAATAGAATAATTCAAAGTACTGAAAATACACTAAAAATTTCATAAGAACCGACGTGTTTTCACAAGTGCAAAAGAGACAAAATATTAGCAGTAATATTGAAGTTGAGAACGAATCAGAAAGCAATGCGTTCACGAAGAATCTTTAATCGGAGCATGTGATTGATCATGCTGCTTGGAAAAATAATCCGTGGATTATCTTTCTTGCGAGATACGCGCGCCTAATCAATTCGCGAAGAAAAAGTTGTGCGATAAGTCGAATGTGACAAACTAGTCATCGCATGTCGTCGATTTCCTCGATTCGAGTGTGACGCGAAAACTCAACGATTCTGTGAATTTCCTGCGAGAAAAACAGCTAGTTCATTCGTACACTAATTTCGTTCAATTCACATTACAAATATTACACAAAAATTATATAATATGTAAGAATATTGTATAAATATTTCATGAAATTATTTTTATTAAACTAAATAGTATTTTAATAAAAGAAGTCATACATCAAAAAATGGCAGACATGTCAGAAATAATTAATTTGTATAAAACAATTTCGTGTAAAAAATCTATTCAGTACAGTAATATTATATAATATTGCTATAATATGAAATTTAAATGAAGCCGTTAATTCAGCAGAATTTCGTTACCAGAAAAATCCCCGGTCACTACGCGGAACTGCCAATATTCTCTCGCAAAATGGAGCAAGTTGCTCTCGTCGGAGGCATGCGAGCTGCCAGTAGTTCGCAAAATAAAAGTCGAAAATAACGATGTAGCCGGCGGTTAATGAGTCAATACGCGTTAAGTGTTACCCTCGCAACTTTTCCGCGCTCGTCCCCTCCGCGAAATTCGTGTAACTCTTTCAATTAAAAGTTTCGCGCGCGCGGTTCATCTTCATCCC